AACCAGTGTCACCAGGTGAGCCCTCACCCCATGGAACCAGTCCTGTGGGCACCAACCCCATAGGCACCAGGTGGGCACCCACCCCATGATGACCAGGTGAGGCCCCACTCATGTCACCAGGTGAACACCCATGTCACCAGGTGGGCACCAACCCCATGGGCACCAGGTGAGGCCTACCCGTGTCACCAGGTGAGCCCCACCAATGTCACCAGGTGAGCCCTCATCCCATGGAACCAACCCCATGGGCACCAGCTGAGCCTCACCCATGGTGACCAGGTGAGCCCCACCCATGTCACCAGGTGAGCCCCACCCCGGCAGCCACCCCCCAGGGCGGGGCACAGCGCTGTCCCCTATCAATTACCCTATCAGGTATCCCTGCCTGGCGTCCTGGCGCCGGTTCCTCATCAGCGCCTTGTACTCGCCCACGCGCAGCCGCTTGCCCTCCACGATGCAGGTGCGCTTGGGCCGCGGCTTGTATTTGTAATCCGGGTACTTCTCCAGGTGCTGCCGGCTCAGCCGCGCCTGCTCCTCGTAGTACGGCTGCTTCTCCTGGTTGGACATGGATTTCCACCGGGATCCTGCGTGGGGAAGGAGCAGAGCGTGCTCACACCCTGCCTGGGCGAGGACAGGGCGGCTGGGAGGAACCCCGAGGTTAATTGGTGCTGATTTATGGATGAGTGCTGTTAGTCAATGTCATTCCTTGTGGGATCGGCACCTGGATTTACAGCTCTGCTGGTGGGAGCCACGTGCTGCAGCCGGTTCTACCGGAATATCGGGAACAGCTTCCCTGACCTACCCCTGGCACCTCCAGGGATTCATTCTCTGACCTTCCCTCCTGGGACTCATCTCCTCATTCCCTGAACATCCCTCCATGGATTCATCCCCTCAGGTTCCCTGTCCCGGGTCAGGGATGTCCCAGGATCTTGTTCCCATCCCTCCAGGGGATGCAGAGGGGATTCCCCATCCCGAGATCTCACCCAGGATCTTGCTGATGCTGGAGTTGTGCATGTCTGGGAAGGCCTGCAGGATCTTCCTCCTCTCGTCCTTGGCCCACACCATGAAGGCGTTCATGGGCCGCTTGATGTGGTTGTTGTTCCTGGACTCCGGGAAGTGCCGGGAGCCTGCGAGGGACACCCAGGATGAGGGCAGGAGCCGGAGAACAGAGCAAACCCGGGGTCATCACCACGCTCCCGGCCATCCTCACCGTCCATCTCACAGCTCAGCAGAGCCTCGTCCAGCCGGTGGCCGGGGGTCTCCTCCATCCGCTCCTTCACCGGGGAGGAATCGATCCCAACGTGCTCCTGCAGGACAGCAGGGTCAAGAGGCAGCCCCAGCCCGGGGACAGCTGTGGCTGGTGGCACTGGGGCGGCAGAGGGGACGGTGACCACGCAGAGTGACCCTCACCTTGCGGTAGGGGCTGCTGAGTGACCCCTCCATGGCGGCGCCGTGGCCGTGCAGCAGCTGCCGCGCGTCGTGGATGGCTTTGGTGATGGCATCGCCCTCTCCCAGGAATCCTGGCAGGACACAGCACCCATCAGTGCCAGTGGTCACCTCACTGACCACTCACAGCACTGACCCATATGTACACCCATCAGTGCCAGTGGTCACCTCACTGACCACTCACAGCACTGACCCTTATGTACACCCATCAGTGCCAGTGGTCACCTCAGTGACCCCCAGAGCACTGACCACTATGGGCACCCATCAGTGCCAGAGGTCACCCTGCTGACCACTCCCAGCACTGACCCCTGTGGGAACCCCACTGACCACTCCCTTCACTGACCCCTGTGGGCACCCATCAGTGCCAGCGGTCACCTCACTGACCACTCCCAGCACTGACCCCACCCTGACCACCACAGCTGTGCCCCGAAGGGTGGCACGGCACCCGGGAGCAGCAGAGACGTCACGTGTCCCCCCAAAACCCCGAAAGGGGCTCCTGGGCACGCACCCAGAGGGAGGCTGGATGGGCTGCTCTGCAGCTCCCTGCTGGCCCCGTGGCCCGGCGGCAGCGACTGGCAGCCGCTCATCTTCAAACTGGGCGAACTGGAGGCACTGGGGAGCTCGGAGCCTTTGGGTTTGGCTGTCAGGTTCAGCGGCTGCGAGGTCTCCTGGGGAGGAGGGAGGGATGGGGGGTGAGGAGCTGTCCCCAAACACCCAGCCCAAGGTTTGGAGGGGTTTTGGGGCTGTGCCAGGGTTTGGAAGGGGTTTGAGGGCTGTACCTGCATCTGGAGGTGGCCCGGGCCCGCGGGTCTCTTCAGCGTGGGAGGAGGGGGGCTGTGCAGGAGCTGCACCG